AGCGTTCAAACCCCAGTAACACACACACACACACACACACACACACACAGAACTCCAACCACTGTTGTGGATTTGTCTCTATATCTTGTTTTGTCACTTTGTGAGTGTGTGTTTTGAAGCTTTGTTAATGGGTGTGTACACTTTGTGATTATTGTAGATTCATGATGAATTGATCCTTTTTTCATTATATAATATCTCTCTTTGTTCCTGAAATACTCCTTCTCTTAAAAGCTACTGGTTTTTTTGTGGTACTGAGGTTTGAACTCAGGGTCTTGTACTTTCTAGACAAGTGTTCTATCACTTGAGGCACACTCCCAGCAAAATCTACTTTTTCTGATATGAATTTAGCCACTCCGACTTAGGAATCCTGTTTGTGATATATATATATGCATATACATTTTGAGGCGCCTCACTTCTCACCTATCTTTTTTCTTTTAATGTGTCTGTTGCAGGTACCATATCATTGGGTCTTGCTTTTTCATGCTGTCTGCACAGTCTATGCTTTTGGTTTCTGAGTTTAGCTGATGATTGTCTATTAGCAGTTAATGTAATACTGACTATTTGGGCCAGGGCACTATCTTGCATTTCTGTTTGCTCCACCTGTTTTCCTCATTTTGTTGTTGATTTTTCTCTGATTTCTCTTTAAGAGGGGTTCACCAGACATTCTTTGGCACTCCATTTTGTGCCTCCTATTGGATTTTTAGCTATACCTCTTTATTTACTTTTTTGACACAGATTCTCACTAAGTTGGCCAAACTGGCTGCTAACCTGGGATCCTCTTGCCTCAGTTTTCAAAGTAGCTGGCAGGAGTGTACCGCAATGCTCAGGTTTTTGTATTTTAATAAAGTGTTTTCTCTAGGGATTGTATTCTACACTGTTCAGTTCTCATCCTGTTTAGAATCAATAGTGTGCCTCTTTACAAAACTTGTGAAACTTGTAACAGTTTAGATCTAAAAATGTTTCCCTCTTGTTTTTTTTTCCATTTCTGCCTGGTTTGGTTTGGTTTTTTGAGTCAGGGTCTCACCAGGTAGCCCAGATTGGCCTTGAACTCATCATCCTTTTGTCTCAGCCTCCCCCATGCTGGGATTACAAATATGTGCCACCACACCTAGCCTCAGATTTAAATGGTTTTTCATCATTCCTTTTCAGCTCCAAAACTTTTTTTTTATGGGACTTCTTGTAATATAGGGCCACAGGTGACAGATTTGTTCAGCTTCCATGTATTTTACGTCTTTTTCCTTTGTTTAAGAACCACAGCCTTGCACTGCCTGTATCCAGTGCCTGGAAACAATTGACTCATAGATTTTGTCCAGATGTATGGTTGCTATGGCAGGCGGGGTAAACCCAATGCTGCTTACTCTGAAATGTCTTAAAGAAGCCATCTCTTCTGTTTTTGCTTTTTGGAATTCTTTTGTTTGGGCATCGGGCTTCTCAAATTCATCTTCAGAATCCCATTTTCTATGTACTACTTACACTCTTCTGGGGATTTTCTCAACCTTCACCTTCATTTAAAAAAAAAAAATCTAAGTTTGCCAGGTGCCATTGGCTCAAACCTGTAATCCTAGCTGCTTAGGAGGCTGAGATCAGGAGACTCATGGTTTGAGGCCAATAGATGGTTTGGACAAATAGTTGAGGAGACCCCATCTCCAAAATAACCAGAGCAAAATGGACTGGGGGTGTGGCTCAAGTGTAGAGCACCTGCTTTGCAAGCAATTCCAACCCCAGTTCTACTGGGAAAAAAATCTAAATTTTACTATCATACTTTTCATGTCTAACAGTGCTGTCTAGTTTTCTGACAACTCTTACAAATAGATCATGTGTCAAGGGTGCAATGGATGCTTTCTGTTATCTCCCGGAGGGCAGTCACAATGGTTTCTGAGCGGGCATTTCAACCATTCTCTATATTGCTTTTGATCTCCCTTTTCCATGTATGTTTCAGCCCCTATTCCTTCACACTGGGAGTTGTTCTCACATGTCTAGCAATCCTCAGGCATTTATTTATTTATTTAGTATGGAAAAGTAAGGCAGTAGGAGGCTGGGCTTTCTGTGGGGTGAGGGCTTGCCCCTGCTGGACCACACTGTTGAGTGACAAGTAAGGACCAGTTCTTTTGCTTGGTGATCCAGAAAGGGGCATGTGCCTGTAAATTTGCAGTATCCAGTCCTCCAATTAGACTCTTCGACTGTCTTGCTTGCGAATGGATCTGGGTGCCAGTGTTCCTCAGATCCAATTTGGGGAAGGAGGTGGGAGTCTCTCCGGTGAGTCTGTAGATTATCACTTGCTCCCTCTGTTTTTAGTAAGAATCTTTCCCCACTTCCAGGTGGCCTGGCATTTCTTGAGTCCAGAGCCTTGCCAAGTCAACCTGCCCAGAGTAAAGTCTCCAGTCATTCTGAGGGTGAGAGAAAGGTAGTTGCTATTCTGTATGGAATAGGAGAAGAGACCTGGGGTCTAGCTGCTCCCAGTGAAAAACACCAGAACATTCTCCTTTTCAGCCCTATCTCACACTGCCACCCAAGGGCTCCCATTCCCAAGCCTTTCAACATCTTTAGTGAGAATCCATTTACCTTTCAAGCTTCTTACCACAGGACGTAATTCTCTTCAGCCCCCTTGGCCATTACTGCTTTCCAGTATTTCTTTTGTTGCTGTCTTTCTCCAGTTCACTTTGACTCTGTGGGATTTTTTTTTTTTCAGTACTGTCATTGAATCCTGGGCCCTGCACATTTTAAGAATTATGTTGTAATGTGAATGCTGCAAGAAAGATTCTGTGGAACTCTACCTAGGGGCGCATCATAGAACTTGGCCTTATAGGGAGACTTGGTAAATAAAATAAGTATTCATTTATATTTTTAGGTAAAAATAGTATGCTTGAGTTATATATGTACTTATTGTTATTATTATTATTAAACAATTATCCACTGTGAGGTTTTTCAGTCCATCAGCCTATTCTGTTCCAGTCATGATGTAAAAGACAGTCTCTTTTGACCCCTATAATCTTTGTTTAACAACACACAGTTGTTGTCTAGGACAAAAGGAGATGGAAGTCCTGGGCAGGAAGTTACATTTTTCTGTTCTCCAGGTGATAAACTACAAAAGTAAAGAATCTGTAAAGGTGATAAAGGATCTGTGGAGGCAAGACTGTACTTAGGTGGTCATAGCACTACCCTTTACAGCTGTCTTTGTGGAGTGCTCATTAATTCTTTCAACTATTTGTTGCCTACATGCTGTGGAACATCTGGCTGTGGGAATACAGAGTCATTGGCTTAACCCACACAGATGCTTCCTGGCTGTTCATAAGCATAAAAGGAAGATAACTGCCCGTTCCTCAGGCTGAGTACATACCGATGGATTTCTTTTTTCACTTTTTGTCTGGAGGTGAAAAAATGTATCTTTGTTCTCTTAATGTTAGTCAGAGAGGCAACCACTCATGAATCAATGGTGGCAAGGGGAGGGAAATTACCATGTAAAGGCTAACACACAGTAGAAATTCCCTTTTCTATGGAGAGAATCATCTGGAATGCTATAACAAAGGTCACTGGTTAATAAGCATTATTGGACACAAAGATTCAACAGAATTTTAACCCTTGTTTGACTACCATGCAACAAGATTTCAGTGTTAGGGCTTCTGCATTCATTTGTGTGTGTGTGTGTGTGTGTGTGTGTGTGTTTACAAAAACAACCAAAATGTATTTATTTAATAGACATTGCAAGGGCTCAACCAGCGACTTAATTAAAAAAAAAAAACAGAAACAAAATAAAAATGACACCACAGCTCAAGATACGAAGGAAAGGACAGACCCTTTAAGGAAAAAATAAAGACAACACAAGGAGAGACTGGGCAGCCTGTGTCACGGCTACTGGCTGACCCTCTTTTACTAGGTTTCTTGCAAATACAGTCTTTTTTTTTTTTTTAATGGTATTGGGGCTTGAACTCAGGGCCTACACCTTGAGCCACTCCACCAGCCCGTTTTTATGTATGTTGGGTATTTTTGATGGGTCTCACAAACTGTTTGCCTGGGCTGGCTTTGAATCTCGATCCTCTTGATCTCTGCCTCCTGAGTAGCTAGGATTGCAGGCGCCCGGCATTGCAGATACTTCTTAAAAGCTGTGGGGCTTTTCCAGAGCTTGACAGCCTGTGTGTTCAAAGGGCTATCAATATGGAGTTCTCCTAGCAGGCTCTGGATGGAGAGCAGGATGGTCCTGACATTTTATAGTCCTCAAGGATGTCCAGGATGTTACTCTGGGTGTCCACGCAGGGATGGTGGCAGGGCATGAGGAACTTCACTGTCAGTGGGTGTTAAGAATAGATACTGGGGAACTGTAGGGAGAGCTCATCCTCAGGTCTTCACAGACTGTGCCAGCTGCTCCACGGATGGCCCCTACCCATTTGAAAAGGTGGTCTGACTCAGGGAAGGGACAAGTTCTTTGTCACCAGATGTCATGAGGATCATTACTTCCTGTTGTAGCCTCTTTCTTTGGCAATGACCCCCTATTTGGACCAGCTCCTTGTGAGCAGTAGTGAGGCTGGTGACAACTGTGTGGCAGTTTGGGGAGGCCATCCTGGCAAAGCTGGCAGAGAAATAGGAACTCAGAGACCACCACTGAGACTACCTCTGCATTCATTTGAAGCTTTAAGTTACAAGGTGACAACCCTGAGGCACTTCCTTGCCCCCAAACAGGAGCAAGAAACAGCTTGCCGAACAGTATGTTTAGACCCTTTTCTGGATCCAGCTCTTCTCAATTTTGGGAAGAAAGAACTTGAAAGGATGATTTTTTTTTTCAGAAGAGCCTCAGTCACTTTAATAGTATGGAAACAACTAGCAGGTTTGGCCCACAAAGAAATTCAGCCCCAGTGACCTGGCCTGAGAATTGGTTTTGGTATGTGGCTTTCTCAACTGGCTGAAGAAACTCTCAATGGAAACGTCTATGTCATGTCATGTCACTCAGTAGGAATAAGGGCATCCATCTACAGAAGCACTTTGTTTTTCAAAACCCTTCCTCTCTCTTTGTGTTAGTTCTCCTCCCACTTTCCACTGTACAAGATCCTGTTGTGGTACAAGGGGAAGGTCTGTGAACTGTAGACAGCCAGTGTGTGAAGGGAAAGGGGCTTGCTGAGGAGTGACAGACGACTGCAGCAGAAGAGAGTCTGGTAGGATTGAGAAAAAATGCAGGACTGAGGGAGCCAGGCATAGGTGAGGAAGGATGGGAGGGTCAGAACCAACATCAGATACTGAGGGGCAAAGCCAGGCACAGGGTGAATATAGTGAAACCCATGAGGAGGAAATAATCCATACAGAGGAGAGAGAAGGAGTCAGGGAGTAGCACTTTCTTGGGAGTGCTTCTCCTTTCAGTTTACTTTTTACTGGCAGATTTCTGAGATCTGATAGATCATAGTAGCTTTAATAGGCTTGTAATTGACATTCATATTGCTGTACCTTCTTCTGAACATTCAGACCTGTAGGCTTTGTGCCTAAGGGGGATGGGAGAGAAAGCTCTAGGAGTCCCTCATCCAGGCCACAGCCTAGGTTCAACCTTTGAGAACAAAAAGGATCTTCCCCTAAAAGCTCCCCCCCCCCACTCAGCTTCTGAGGGAGAAACTTGGGTAGGGAGATGGTATAATTAAAATAAACCTAGTAAAATAAATTAAATAAACCTAGTAAAAATTGACCACATTTCAGAAAATGTAAACATTCTTTTTTTTTCCCTTTTACCAGCACTATAGATCAAACACAGAGCCTTGTGCACACTAGGCAAGTGCTCTGTCATTGAGCTATGTCCCTAGTTCTTGGTTCTTTGAGACAGGGTCTCACTACATAGCTCAGGCTGTCCTCGAACTGGTGATCCTTCTGCCTCTGCCTCCAGAGTGCTAGAATTACAGGTGTGTACCACCAGACCCAGTTAAACATTCCATATTTTATAGACTTAATACCAACTTCTTCACACTCAAACTCTGGTTATAACTTAACAGCTGCTGTCAAGGCTTGTATAAAACCTCACAGAAAGCAAAAACCCCCATTTCCCAGTAAGAGTCATACTTCTATCCCAGGACTGTCTGCCCATTAGGAAATTCTGCCATCTGAGTATAGTTGTGAACAAAGTGTGGCCCTGGGAGTTTTGTTCTGCCCAGTGGGGAGCTGTGGAAACCTAGCGGCTACCACAGGTGGTAGACTTGGCAGAAGCACAAGCATATGGGCTCCACAGCAGAAATAGATGTCACCATCTGGCACACCATCCCCTCCAATGATTCTCTCACCTCCCTGTCCTACCACTTTTCCAGGTTGAACACAGATGGCATTTAAGAAATATTCACTTGATTTTTTAAATGACATGGTCCTGTTTTTAAGCAAACAGAGATAAAAGGTGATGTGTGTTATTAGGGGTGTTTGTCAAGGGAGAGGTCAAAGAAGGGAGATGTTTTTGAGGATATATTACAGTGAATCTAACTGCAGGCACTGGGGTTGGTCTGTTTCCTGTTAGAATAGGAAGAACTAATCCCCGGGGGGAGGCCAAACAGCAGGTCAGCTCCTGAAGAGCAAGCAAGACTGATTCCTCAATGAGAGGTGGCTCTGCAGAGATTTCCTAGAACCCCCCCTTGCCTGTATTGCTTTCAGGTCAGATTTCTGGAAGTAGAGCATGTTAGGTGATTACATTTGTGCAGGAGTTGAACATAAACCCCAGATTGTCACAACTTGGATAGGTTCAGTAAAGCCAGATATGCTATGCCTCTTTGGTTGGATGTAAGCATCTGGAGTCTTTAATGATTGTGGACTTCTAGAATTTTAGAATTACAGAATTTTGGAGACAGCAAATGGGCTAAATGAATTTTTCCTTCCAGTAGTTTCTTGTTTAGTTATCCTTTAGTCTGTGTGGTCAGGTTGTTCAGTGGTATGTCCCATGTCAATTGATTGCATCCTCTATCAGCTATGACACCATGCCTCAACTCCAATAGCAGGATGGCATCTCATCAAATTCTAAAAGCTGTGACTATTTGCACTGGAACAATCCACCCCTCAAAATGCCTAATAAGATAAGATCTGGACTACCCACCACTACCACTACCATTAAGTGTGTCTTTGTTGTAGGATTTGGCTGCAGTATCACTCACCTTGAGAATGTTTTGGGTTCACCCAAGGGTGGCCCGTCTGGTTAAAGGGCAGTGCTGATCCCTTTGAGTGGTGCTGGCCACTCGTACACTATTGTTTTTTTCTGGCCATGCTGGACTCCCAGATGTCTGCTGTGTGGTAGGACATATTTGAAACTCAGACACTTCTTCTCCAGCTTCTCTCTTAAGATAGTGAGTGGCTGGAGTGGTCACTTGGTCAGTATCATCCAGTCAAGAGACCAGAGGGAATCCTTGTTCAACTGATGGTCAGAGTCCCTTCATCCCCTACTCCTTTCCAGATCCATGAGAAAGAAGAGGAAGAGTTCAATGAGAAGAGTGAAAATGATTCTGGTATTAATGAGGAGCCTCTCCTCACAGCAGATCAGGTATGAGCATCTCTCTTAAGTTCTTGGGAACTTTTTGTTCTTTTGATAAATAAAAAGTTCTGTCTTGGCATTACCAAGACAGAAGAAAGATATATGGTTCTGTGGTGACCATGTTGATGACTCAGTGTATCTTTTGATAAGGGGTTAACTTCTCTTTATGTTTTTGTTTACACATCTATAGAGAACATGAACATAACTCCTGATACTTGGGTTGGTTGGGGGTCAGTCTTTGATGACTACCAGAGTTAGGTCTAGTGTTTATTGACTTCACTTCCTGCTAATTTCTTATACTTGGAGTCAGGACACATAAAGGAGGGTCGCCAGTACTTGTTCTTCCAAAAAAGAGAAGTGACAGATGAGGCTTCTGTGTGATGGGATATTTTCTCACATTTATAGAATGCTGAAAATTTTTAGCATTCCAAAAGGAGTCTTAGAGACATTTCTCTCTTTGCGAAAAAAAGACACAGTGTTTTCCATTTTGGATTGAGTTAATTATATGTTAGTTTTAGTAATTTATTACTTAGGGAGGATAATGTTGAGTCTCAGAATTCCTTATTCAACTTTTTTTTTTTTTTGGCAGTACTGGGGTTTGAACTCAGGGCCTCATGCTTGCTAGGCAAGCGTGCTCTACCACTTGAGCCACTCTGCCAGCCCCTTATTCAACTTTTTTGTTGACAAGTATCTATGAGTGCTTACTTTGAACTAGACATCACACAAGTTTCCACAAAGTCATTATGAAAACACCCCACTGGAAGCCATCAGTGACAGAAAGTGCCTTTTAATAGAGGTGTTTCTTCAAATCTATGGCAAAAGGGTGGGATTTGGTTTTTTCTTTTAATGTCTATAGTTTTTTAAAGTGGGATTTGAAACATGTAAGGAATAGGAGATGGAAGGGAACTAGATAAAAAGAACAGAGGCTAATAGTTATTCTTTTGACTTGTAGGAGGAACTTTAACTCAATGACATGGATTCAGTGATAACTACTCTTAGTGAAAGAAACTCAAAATCCCAAAGGGGGTTTGTGTAACTTAGTCTAATCCCATAAAATGGCTTTCAGTAGTCAAAGACTAGGTATCCCTTAATTTTTGAGTAGAGTTGAGAAGGTTTGTGAATAAAAATAGGAATTATTCTATTTACTTATAATAATGATAATATTATTGTTGTATTGGGGGTACATTGTGACATTTATAAAAGTTCTACAATATATCATAGTTGATTTCACCCCCTCCAGGAATTACTCTAAAAGAGGAGGCCCTAAGCCCATCACCTTCTGTCCACTCTAATAAGAAGAAACCCACTGCCAAGACCATAGGCCAGTGGCCTTGGATAGTGAGTCCCTCACAGCATTGGGAATAGACAGATGTGTAAACGTGCTGTTGCCACCAAACTCATCTACAGACCCATTTTTTACATGGAGACTTTGCTTACTCTGTTTCTTTATGTAAACAATTGATGTACACAGTAGCTTACCCTTATTCCTTTTGATGAAGGCACTCTGCCACTTGAGCCACTCCACCAGCCCTACCCTCCACTTCTAAGAACTGTGCCCCATCCATAGTCAAGACTGGAGCTGAGTTCTTAACTATCTTCTGCTCCCCAGACCCCAGCTATCCTTTTAGTATTTTATTGTCCTTGTTTTCGCTTGTTGCCTCTCAGCATCAGTTCCTGTTTAGGTAAATTCTGGAGAAATAGTTATTTTCTTTTCCATTTTGAGTTGTTCTGGGAACACTTTGTTTTGTTTCTTCCAGTCACATGGATTGTGACAATTAATGGGCTTGGTTTGTTGTTGTTGTTGTTGTTGTTGAGCAGATAAAATATTTTCCCACTTAGAAATAAAATGCTTTGACAAATTGAAGTAATGTTCCCTTCCAGTCAACCTTGCTTTGTTTCCTGAAAGAGTTGTTTATTTCCAATAAAGTGTTCATCTAAATGCAGCTCTTGGAAGGGGTTTTACATGAAAGAGTACTTTACATTAAAGAATGAGTATGTATAAACTTTTGTTTGGGTCTATTTTTATTCTTACTAATTTTTTTTTTTTGGTATGACTGGGGTTTGAACTCAGGGGTTCATGTTTACAAAGCAGGCACTTTACTGCTTGAACCACAACTCCAGTCTATTTTGCTCTGGTTATTTTCAAGATGGAGTTTCACTAACTATCTGCCCAGGCTGGCCTCAAACAGCAATCCTCTGATCTCAGCCTCCCAAGTAGCTAGGATTATAGACATGAGCTACCAGAGCCCAGCTATTATTCAATATGTATTAGGAAATGTTATCACTTCAAGAATTTTCCAGGTAGCAAATTAGAAATGTCCTTAACTGATCAAAACTTAAGCCATTTGTGCTCCTTCAGCAGGGAACAGTTTGCATTTTCTTGTGTACGTTCCCCAGGTAATTGAGGAGATTGAGGAAATGATGCAGAACTCTCCAGATCCTGAGGAAGAAGAGGAGGTTCTGGAAGAGGATGATGGAGGAGAAATCTCATCCCAGGCAGACTCAGTCCTACTGCAGGAGATGCAGGCTTTGACACAGACCTTCAACAACAACTGGTCCTATGAAGGTGAGGCCCCTGGGAGGCCAGACATGCTGAGGATGAAGCTCTGAACTGGTACCAGGCACTGTTCACACATGGCTCTCAGAATTTTGTCACTGTTCCAGAGTAAAGACTTACAAATTCAGGGGGTGGGCAATGCCTTCCCTACTTGGCATCAGGAGAGGTTAGCATTTTTCTAAGTAAAAAAAGAATTCCAGAAAACCTTAAATGGTAAAGCAAACCAAAGAACAAGACTAAAGCAGAGTAAGTGGAAGAAATCTGAACCACTGTCCAAAAGCAATGAATGATATTACCATAAAATCAATGAAAAAAAAAGATAATATGGTAATAATGATAGCTGTTAATTTAGAGTGCTTTCTATGTGTCAAGCACTTCCTAAGCCTTTTTTATGCTTACTCTTACACCAATCTCCCTCCATTCCCACTAGGATTGGGCCAATTTAATTCTTCCAGAATTTAAGTGACTTGTCCAAGGCCACTGTTGGGAGAATAGAGTTGAAAACAAAATCTCACCACCCAGAAAAGCCTCTCCACAAAGTATTAGGGAAAGGAAGCAATTTTATTATTAAGTTAGCATTAACGAGAATTGGATGCATATCACAGACAATCCTCTGAAGGAAGAGCATAGACAGAAAGAAAGCTCACTCTTGTCTATAGCTAAGTGGATGGAACCCATTACGATAAGTAGGTTTTGCAATTTGGAGCCAGGTGGCTGAGTTAGACCTTTCTGTTTTCAGAACAGTGGGAGATTAGGCTTTATCTTCCTTGGATGATTGTATTTCAAGGCAGTGGCTTCCAGGCCCCTGAAGGAAACCTCCTTTAACCTCAGAGATGGTAGGAGGCTTATTTAGTCATTAAAAGATTTAACATATCTTTGAAAAAGACAAAGAGATTCTGCAAGAAAAGGGAGGTGGTGGAAAAGAAAAGTCTTATTTATTTTTCTGTGTTGTACTGGGGATCATACGTAAGGCTTCATGGCTTCATGTGCTCTGCCAGTGAGTTACACCCCCAGATCTCTTCCCTTATTTTCAATGGGAAGAGGAGAGCCACACATTTAAAATTTGTACTTGCCCTTAAACCTATGTGTAGCAAGGGTGACAGCCAGCACTTGAAGCTGGCAGGTTAACTCCAGGGTCCAGTCTCCAGTCTCTTGAGCTCTGTATCATAGTAACTCTCTGGCACAGGTTTATAGTAATGATAGCCATGAAAAGAAAGGCCTGAAATGAGAAAATGAAACACAGAAAAAGCAAAATCGAGTAGAAAATCCATTTGTTGGTAGGGATGATGAGGAGGCCCCTGCTATAGAAGGGACTCTGTTGCTGGGAGGAGGTCCCTATGTGGGGTAACAGGGACTTACAAACTACTGACAAAGAAAGGGTGCAAAGGTCCAAATGCAGGTTATAAGTGCAAAACTTGAGCACTGCATTCTGGAAGCAGAACTTTGAGGCTGTGAAGAGCAGTGGCAGGGTGGTGGCCCCTGCAGAAAGTCACTGGGTGATGGAGTGGATTTGGCTGCTGGCTGCATTCACAGCCACCCCAATCAGGCCATTCTCAACCACACAAAGGCCCCAAACATAGAAGTGTTCAACACAGGACTCAGGAAAACAGCTGAGATGCAGAGTGAAATGGCAAGAAAACAGAAGGAGGACAGCTTCAAAGAGCAAAACAAAGGGGAAGGATGAACCAAGTCAGCAAATACCCAGACAAAGCAGGGCCGGGAAGGGAAGGAAAATGGGTTCTGAGGTGAAAATAGAAGATACCATTAGTCAAGGACAAACTTTAAAGACACTCCCTGGATGTGCTTTATTTATTTATTGTATTAGTAATTAAAATATTAATAAACATAGTAACTGTACATGTTTATATGGCACAGTGTAGCATTTCATATATGGGTGTAGTTCGTAATGTTCAGATTAGGGTAATTACCCTATATATCACCTCAGACATAATCATTTCTTTATGTTGGGAACTTTTTTTCTTGCAGTGCTGGAGATTGAACCCAGGGTTTTACACATGACAAGCAATCTGCCACTGACCTACATCTCCACCCTATGTCAGGAACATTTAAAATCCTTTCTGCTTGCCAGTCCTGTAATCCTAACACTATAGAGACTGAGGCAGGAGGATCTCAAGTTCAAGGCCAGCCTAGGTTACATAGTGAGATCCTGTCAAGGAAGGAAGGTGTTCTCAGTACTGGCTATTTTGATATATTTGATGAGTTGTTAACCACCTAATCTATTATAGATGAAGACATATTAGAGATAAGGAGTTAAAGTTATCTGTGTCCACGATCTCAGGTTCCCTTGTCCCTGACAGTGGCAGACTGCTGGGGAGGTTTCATTTTTCCCTGTAGGTTCTAGTCTCCCATACTTTTGAATACATGCACTGTGGCACAGGACAATACACCCTCAGATTGTCTACCTATTTTTCTATCAGCTGTATCTTTATTTTTAAATTTTTTTTATTTTTTATTTTTTGCAGTACTGAGCTTTGAACTGGGCCTTGGACTTGGATAGGCAAGCACTTTACCACTTGAGCCAAGCCATCAGCCTTTTTTGCTTAATTAATTCATTTATTTATTTTTCTGCTTTTCCTAGTATCCCTCTACTCAGTCTTGGTTGCCACACTCAGACAGAAAGCACAAGGATGCGTTTTTCTTGCATCTGTAGTGGAAACTTTAGCAGCAGACAGGAACTTTAATTTCTTTCTTTTTTTTTTTGGCATTGCTGGGTCTTACACTTGCTAGGCAGGTGCTTTTACCTCTTGAGCCACTCTGCCAGCGCAGAACCCAGTTTTTTGTGTTTTGATGGCCCTGGCGTCTGTATTTAGGGGCTCATGCTTGCTAGGCAGGTGCTCTGTCACTTGAGCCACTCTGCCAGTGCCCTTTAATTTAAATTTTGAAGATAAGTTCTCTCACTCTTTGCCCAGGTAAGCCTCGGTCTACAACCCTTCTATCTGTGCCTCCCTCATAGCTGATATTACATGCATGCTCCACCTCACCCAGCCTGTCAGATGTATCTTGATCAGTTCATGGGAATAGATACTACCTCCTTCATTGCTTTTCTGCATAAATGCCAAAATCTCTTCTCGATGTTTTTTCCCCTCAATTATTGATCCATTCCACAAAAGGAGTATTAGGGAGACAGGAAAATACACAGAACAAGAAAAGCCAGGTGTATGCCCACCCACATTTTTGCAATTAGAGTCTGCTTGCTTCCTTCGGCTATTTCTTCTTCCCCCTTTGTTTTCCAAGTGTGATGTTCTCTCCAGTATATGATATAGGGCTCCTCCCTTCCTGGCCTGCCCTAAGTCACGAAGGGCTTTCTGGGATCTCTAAGAACCTCTAAGGGCCCCTTATGGCGGCCCATCTCCAGGTATCACCTGCAGGACGGTCTTCCCCTGCAGGGTTGAGGCACATGTCTGGGTCTGAGCTGACCCAGCTGCTGGACCAAGTGGAGGGTGCGATCCGCGACTTCTCAGAGGAGCTGGTGCACCAGCTGGCCCGCCGGGACGAGCTGGAGTTTGAGAAGGAAGTGAAAAACTCCTTCATCACGGTGCTCATTGAGGTTCAGAACAAGCAGAAGGAGCAGCGGGAACTGATGAAAAAGAGGCGGAAAGAAAAAGGGCTGAGTCTGCAGAGCAGCCGAATAGAGAAGGGAAACCAGATGCCTCTCAAGGTATGTGAGCAACCCAGTTGGAAGACTGGGAATCTCAGCCTGGAGCCTCAGCCATCGAAGGTTCCAACACCTACCCTAAGGTGGACTCTTAACTACTTATTGAGCATCAGCTCTGGGAGGAACCTTGTGACAGGCAGTGGGGTCAGAAGATGCCACCCACAGAAGGCCCCCAGTCTAACTGGCCTGTGTGAAGATACCCTGTGTTCTAGGCTAGGCCTTGGAAAGTGAATGAGGGCATTCAGAGTCTCAAAACTCTTGGTCAGGATCTCTGCCAGTGTCATGGATCGTGTTTCTCCCTGGTCTCTTACAAGTGTCTCAGTGGTTGAAAATGACCTGATGCCTGTTGGTCTATAGACAGCATTCTCCTTATCAGTGGATGTTAATGGGGATGGGTGTGTAGAATCATCTGAGGAGCTTTTTCAAAATGCCTTCGCCTCATTTTGTCCCAGACCCACTGAATTAGGCCTAGGGCATATATATTTTGAAGAAACTAACAAGCAAAAAAGCTTTCCAGATCAGGTCAGTTGCTTGAAACCTGTCCTTTCTGATGGTTCAATATTTGGATTTCCCCTAAAGACTTTTGCACCATCCTTCCCCTAATTTTACAGTACTGCTTTGGTTTTGCCATGTATTTACACTACACAGGATAAAATGAGGAAAACTGAAGGATGCAGAGGGCTCTGGTAGCCCTGGGGGACTGACTAAGATAAGGAGTCTTTGAGACTGCTATTTGTTAGTTAAATTTCCAGCTTGTCTCTATAAGCCAAGATTTTATTTACTTACTGGTTAACATGGACCATTTATCTGGGGCAGCATGGTAGCTGATGGATCTGGGTACTTGAGTGAGGACACAGAAGTGCCTGGGGTAGTGACTCTGGGGCAGGAAGCCTTTGCCCTTCTAGAGTGTCTCTCTCCCCCAGCGTTTCAGCATGGAAGGCATCTCCAACATTCTTCAGAGTGGCATCCGGCAGACCTTTGGCTCCTCAGGAACTGATAAGCAGGTATGAGCAATCTCCCTTCTCCTGCTCTCCTCTACATCTTGCAACTAGTCCTCCCCAACAAAGTGTGTGTGTGTGTGGGGGGGGGTGACTCACCAGAATTATCACAACATTTGGGCAAAAGGGGTCACAACATTTTCTTCCTCTCCTAAGGAAAGACAGAAAGTGCCTTTCAAAGGTGATTTTTGTGTGTGTGTGTTCTGTATCCTAGGACATGGACAAGACGTAGAACCTAACACTAATTGTAGATCTATGAATTAGGTTGCTTTAAAGACAAAGAACATTAAGAGGGGATCATGATTGATCCCATGTCAGAGTTTAATCAGCTCTGTCACATTTGATCTCCAGCTGAGCCAGTGCCACCAACACTGCCTCTTCAGCTGCTTGGCTTTGATTGTAACTGTGGCATCTACTTATTGGCTCCATTTTGTCAATAGCCCATCTGCTGTTTTAGTCAGCTTTGCATTACTACAACAAACTACCGGAGGCAACTAATTTTATAAAAAGAAAAGTTTTATTTAGTTTACAGTTTGGAAGATTTGGGAGTTCAAGTCTAAGATTGGGTAGCCTCATTGGTTTAACCTCTGGTGAGGGTGGCACATCATAGTAAGAGTGTGTGTAGAAGCAAGAACAAGTGGTCCCATATCAAGCCAAGATGAGAGAGAGAGAGAGAGAGAGAGAGAGAGAGAGAGAGAGAGAGAGAGCCCTAGTGACCTAAAGACTTCCTATTAGACCCCCATCTCTCAGATTCACAGTGCCTCCCAATACCTCAACCCTGAGGACCAAGCTTTGCAAATGGGCCTTTGTGGTACAATCAAATTACAGAAATGATAGCATCTGCAAAGTAGCTGGCATTTCTGGTTATTAAGGTAGAGTTTAAAAACTTTTATTGAGTGCTTATTATGTGCTATGCCATGTTGCTGGGTCCTCAGGTGCAAAGGTGAAAAGCTTTGCTTTTGCCCCTGCAGGGTGCACAATGTAGTAGATTTGGCAGTGCATCTGACAGTTTGAAATTGTGGAATAAGTGCTCATGAAATATGTATGTCTTTTAAACTTTTTTTAGCTGAATTCTAAGTGTTAGAATTCTACAACTGCAATTCAGAAGACTTTTGAACACGTAACCAGTCCTGTCCCTTCACAGCAGAGAAAACTGAGGCCCAGAGTGATAGACAGGTTCCCAAGGTCTTGCTGCCAGGAACAGGGCCAAAGCCCCAGTGCAAAGCTTCTTGACCTTGCACCTTCAGGTCTCTTAGAGCCCTCTTGTCTGTTGTTTTCTGATGTCCACTGGGTCCCTGGAGGCTGATTTTGTTGTAAGAGAACCTCACATCCAGCAGAGGGAGCAAATCCTACATCCAAGACTGGGTGTGGTTGATGTGTCATTTTTAACAAAAGGGAAATAATTTCTTCTCAACTTGCACTGAAAAGGATAAAAAAGTAACCCCTGTGAAGGTGTTCACTGTTCTCAGTAGGAAGGGGAAAAAGCTCTCCAGGATTCCTAGAAACCCAAAAAGTTTCCACTGTGGGAAGAATGTAGAAGTGAGATGGAAGGAAGTTTTTCCAGGGTAGATATGGGGAAAATTTTATTTTTAGAGACGTCCCCCAGAAGGTTAAGGAATGATCCTGAAATAGTAGTGTGTCAGTGACTGCAAGTGTTGTCAAAGCCAAATTTGACAGAGCATATGTCTTAGTGTGTATAGTCCCCATGCAGATTGCCACTGTACCTCACCCCCAGAGGGACCATGTCTGTATGCCCTGTTTGTCTTGCAGTACCTGAACACAGTCATCCCTTATGAGAAGAAATCCTCTCCTCCCTCTGTGGAAGATCTGCAGATGCTGACAAACAGTAAGTTTGTCGTCCCCAGCCACATAGGCTGCTTCTTTCCCTCCTCCCTGCCCCACAGCACATCTCCATTGTCACAGATTTCCCTAGAACAGCTTTGCATGGGTCAGAATGTGCCCTGAATCACTGTGTCATGCCCTTTGCACAGAATAAAATGAAAATGCTCTGCAGTGATACCCAGAGCTATTTTTTCTGTCCCTCGATTCCTGGAAAGGAAGAGACCTGTTGGAAAAAAAAATGAACTGGGAAATTGGGATGGGATGGTGGGTGGGGCAGAGTTTTCTGTTTTCCCAGCAGTTCTGCCTTCTCTGCCTCTCCTGCCTCTCTTGTAGTTTGAGGTTGCCAGGACCACACTTAAGGCCTCGTAGAGCAGTGAGCTTGGTCTGTGGGCCTAGATGCACTTTAATAAGAAGCAGGATTTCTTGGGTGGGGTAAGACTGATGGGAAAGAATAGTGTCTAGTTTTCCTTCCAGGAAGTGACTGCCTCCTATCCTCCACTTTCTCTGTTGTCCTATATGAACAAACATTCTGAGCTATGGGAGAAAACTGTGTGTAATAAAGAACCTTTTGTAGGCAAAATCTCTTTTGTATATACATCAAACAGTACAAGCCCCCAAAGGGCTAGGGGCACATGGTGTCAGCCAGCAGTGTCAGCCTTGCTCTCTTAGAAAGAGAAAAATCCTAGGCTGAGATGTGATGACAGGCTCAGCAGATCAGAGAAAAATTCCATTTCCCTGGCAACCATGCATGCAGAATGACAGCTCGCAAGGCTGGGGGCTGCCTTGGAGGGAATAGACCAGCGCAAGGCTATTGGATACCCCAGGGAAGGGAGAGGAAGACAGATGCCTCCTGGGCTCTGGTGCTAAAGGTGACCATTTCCATTTTTATCAATTTGGAGAATGAGATCAGAAGACTGTGGCAAACACAAATCCTGCCAACATCCATACACACTGTGTCCTTGAGAATCAGAAATTTTAAATTCTAAGGAGACTGACTCATTTTAAACTTCCACATTTGCATAAATATTCACTAAGATTTTTTTTAAAGGAGCAGACACACAAATGCACTTACAGAGCTGGGGTGACGTTCAGTGGTAGAGTGCTTACCTAGCATGCAAGAGGCCCTGAGTTCAATCCCCAGCACCATAAAAAGAAAATAAAAAAGCATGTATAGGGCTTTTGGTTTTGTTTTACAGTTTTGTAACTTTACTTGACACCCAATATTTAGTTTTCATCCACATTGCCTGTGGATTTCTTTCTAATGTGGTAACAGAGATATAGGTCACCAAAGTATAGAGCTTGTCCGGTGAATCTCCATCCTTATTAGGTTGTCTGGACAACTGCACACAGAGGTAATATTGGACATCCCTTATTCCTTTGGTCCAGACAACTTTATTGAACCTAGTATCAGTGTCTACATCTACAGTCCCCATCTCCTTCAATGCAAATTTCTAGATTTCTTAGAGTACCTGAGGGGCATGCCTCTTAAAGCCCACTCCATGGATGCTCTCATGAATGTCACTGATGTGTTCTCAGGTCCCACCTTGTTGATGGTAAAATGACTCTTCATCTCCCCACCCTTTTTTACAGGAGCCATTCTGCCAGGCCCACATTGGAAAGGCAGTGTTTGTGTTTTCATTTGGAAAATAACTTGGACAAATTACAACTGTTGATATTATAAAGTCTTAAAGCAGGGAAAAACTATTGCAGGTCATTGCAGGTGCCCATACAAGAATTTTTAGTGCAAGATTTTCTTTTCATTGTGATTAAGAGGCAGACTTGTTTTTATTCTGAGTGGATTTGTTTACATTTTTCACCTTCATTTAAAAATTATAGCTAGAGTATACCAATACTAGAATACTTTGTAAATATGGAAAAGTAAACAAAGAAAAATAAAAAATTAATCATGTCACTCAGCTTTATGGCATTGTGATAACCTACTGAGAAAAACAACTTAAAGGAGGTAAGATTTATCTTGGCTCACAGTATCAGAGGTTGCAGCCCATGGTTGCTTGACTGTTGTTTCTGGGCCTGAGGAGAGGCGAGAGCAGCCAGAAAGGGAAGCAGAGAGAGAAAGAGGGAGAGAAAGAGGGAGAGGGGAGAAGAAGAGGAAGAGGGAGAGGGAGGAAGGAGAGGGAGGGAAGGAAGGAAGGAGGAGAGAGAGAGAGAGAGAGAGAGAGAGAGAGAGAGAGAGAGATAGCAGCCCAATATATAGCTGTCCTCAAGGACCCACTCCCTTCAACTAGGTCCTACCTCCTGAGTTTCCATCACCTCCCAATAGCCCATCAGATTATGAACCCCTTAATGGATTAATCCTCTAGTGAGGTCAGAGCCCTCATGATCCAATCACTTCCCCAAAGCCCCTCTGAACATTGCTGCATTGGGGAACCAAGCCTTCAACATGTGAACTTTGGGGGGACATTTCAGATCCAAATCATAACATTAATTTTTCTCTTCATCATGGTTTCTATTTGGTGTTTTAGCCATAAAATTTTATATCTTTTTCAGATAGTTGTGATTATACCAGCTAAAAATTTTGTATCATAATTTTAGTACCATCAGTTGACATTTTGTTAACATTTTATGGCTGTTTCTTTTATTACATGTATATATCACATTCTAATGTTTTATTCCTCTTAAAAGAAAAACTTCCATATTCTCTGCATACCAATTTTCCTATAGGTTATAAAAGCACTCATTTTTGGCAGATCCTCATATGAGTTCTTGAATAATGTCTCCTCTCTCTTCTCTATTCCTTGAATCAAAGACATAGGACAAAGATCAAACCCTGAGACTGGAAAACCCATATGAAATTTGGAGTTTGGAGACTAATTTAGATACATATTAGCTGAGTGCAATTACTGCATTGTTACCGTAATCCTCTTGGTGTGGCATTTAGTATGTCCAGGCTTAGTTGCAAAATGTTCCTAGCCAACTAAGTGGAAATGAATACATGTTTAAAAATACAGAAAAAAGTCAAACAGAAGAAACCAGGGCCCTCAGCATCCAATTAAGTTGAAAGGAACACATCTCTAAAAATATAGAAGAAAATTTAAAAAGTACCCATAGGGGCACAGGTTCAATCGTTCTTTTCTGGGACCTAGGCAGTGACTCATGCCACCATTAGGCTCTGTTCCTCATCTACTCCCAACTTTTGGGCTCAAGTATCATTACCATGCCTTAAAACTACAGAAGATAGGCAATGGAGGGCAAGGATGTAGAAATGGATTAAGGATTCCACCATTGTCACAGTTGCTGCCTGACCCCAACTGATCTCTACTGTTTTCTCTGCTTCTAAAAGTAAAACATACTCATTGAGGAGCTCCAGACAGCATAGAAACATGTCACAGAAAGAACACACCCTGTGGTCCTGCACTCAGAGACAACCACTTAACAGTTTCATTTACCACTCTTCTGGGTTTTTTCTATTAATATGAGCATCTACTCATTATGAAGGTAGTACATATTTTGCAACTTTCTTTCTATCGTCACTGCTAAGTATGTCTTGTGCATAGGAATCTCTCTCATTTTATATAAGGCTGTATAAAACTACAACGAATAGGTATAGTGTAGTTTAAGGAAGTTCATTGAAAGGAATCTATTAGTGGATGCTTTTTTGATATTATAAATAAAGTCAAGGTGTTTTCTTAAAGGATTTTCTACAAAGTTGAACATGAGAACATGTTATTTAATCTGAAAAAACTGTTTTGTTTGTGGTTCTGGGGATTGAACACAGGGCCTTGCACATGGTCGGTGAGTAGTCTAGCACTGAACTACATCCCCTGCCCTAGAAAAGTTATTTTTTAAATTTTATAGAAAGCTTCTAAAAAAGCCACTAGGTGTTAAAGTTTTCTGTATTGTTGGCTGCATGTATAGATCATGCAGTGTTCTAACAGGAAGTCTATAAACTCCTGGAGGGTCAAAAATACTCCTGCATCTCCACAAATTCTAGCACGGTAATGAGCATAACATAGAGAAGAAATATTGGTTGAATTAACTTCATTTGTTGCCAATAAATTGGAGGTTAGGACTGATATAATTATGTCTGTTTATGTGAGAATGTCTTTAAAGCAGTTTTATTTTTTTTTTTTTCATTTTTCTTTTATTATTCATATGTGCATACAAGGCTTGGGTCATTTCTCCCCCCTGCCCCCACCCCCTCCCTTACCACCCACTCCACCCCCTCCCGCTCCCCCCCCTCAATACCCAGCAGAAACTATTTTGCCCTTATTTCTAATTTTGTTGTAGAGAGAGTATAAGCAATAATAGGAAGGAACAAGGGGTTTTGCTGGTTGAGATAAGGATAGCTATACAGGGCATTGACTCACATTGATTTCCTGTGCGTGGGTGTTACCTTCTAGGTTAATTCTTTTTGATCTAACCTTTTCTCTAGTACCTGTTCCCCTTCTCCTATTGGCCTCAGTTGCTTTAAGGTATCTGCTTTAGTTTCTCTGCGTTAAGGGCAACAAATGCTAGCTAGTTTTTTAGGTATCTTACCTATCCTCACCCCTCCCTTGTGTGCTCTCGCTTAAGCAGTTTTATTATTATTATTTTGTGGTACTGAAGTTTGAACTCAGTCTCAACGCTTGCTAGGCAGACACTCTACCACTTGAACAACTCCACCAACCTTAAAACAGTTTTGGTGATTCGGTGATGTGACAACTGTTTATCTGAACATTTAGATTGTATCTGAAGGCTGATTCTTTTTTAACAATGTCTTCATTTACTTTTATGATAATTAAAAGATATATACTGAGTGATGGTATAGAAATTATAGATGAGCCAAAAAAAGAAAAGGAGCCACTGATAGGTTTACTGTCAAGGGGAAACCTGTGGCCTTCTGCACATAGTCTCCTCTCTCACCATGTGGAATGCTGACTCTTTTCTTTTTTTGGTGGTTCTGGGGTTTGAACTCAAAGCTTTGCACTTGAGCCACACCTCAACCCTGAAGCGCTGACTCTTGACAAAGGTTTCTAGACATCTCCTTACTCAGCAAATGTTTGATTCCCTCTAGTGGTTTCTCCCTCACTTTGAGCCAGGGGACTGTTTGGCCCTAGAAGCAGCTTTGTATCCTGATGGTATCTTGGGTATCTCTCTTTCTCTCCTTTCCTAGTTCTCTTTGCCATGAAGGAGGATAACGAGAAGGTGCCTACTTTGCTAACGGACTACATTTTAAAAGGTAAGAGCAGCTGCTGCCTCCTGGATAGGGTGGTCCTCTGGGCACCTGCTATGGAACCCACTCTGAAGACATGGCAGTGTCTATGCCAGAGAGACCCGGCAGGGGCCTGGGAAACCAAGGGGACATTGTGAGACCCTCATGGTAGTGGGTTCTGCTAGGGGGCCTGATAAGAAGATTCCATCACTTCAAGTCAGCGGTATGACTACATTTTGTCCAGGACACCATTTACAAAGACTTACTGTGAAAATGCTATGGAGTTTGGGCTATGTAGTTGGAAAAACAAAACCTGAAAATAACTTAATACTTTTGCTTGCTTTGTTTTGTAGTCCAGGCTAGCCTTGAACTCACCATACTTTTGTGTCAGCCTCCCTGGTGCTGGAATTACAAGCACATGGACTAATTTAATACTTTTCAGGTACTTGGAAGGAAAATGGAGCCATGATTAGATATAACCTTTCACAACTTCTTTTTAAACATTTTATGAAAGAGATATTTTAACATATACAACGGTAGAGTGAATGGCACAATTCAAACTCAGGTACTTATTATCCAGCTTCAACCATCAATGACACATGGTCAGTCTCATTTGATTTATATCCCACCTCAACTTCTCCCTTCCTATATCATTTTGAGGCAGTTCTTTGTCATCAGTTTTTTTCATTCATTAATATTTCACTATGCATTTCTAAAACACAAGAACTCTTTAGGAAAACATAGCCATAATACCTTTATCGTAAGTAAAAAAGGTTGGTGATCCATTAAGTGTTCACATTCCCCTGATTTTTACCATCAAATGTTTTTCAGTTTTTTTAATTTGAATCAGGATCCAGCGAAGGTCTGTACATTATAATTTGATAATGTATCTCATCAGTCTCTTTTAATATTTATTATACATACAATGTATAATGCATTATACATATAATTTAATACATATATATGCGTACATATATTATCATACATATATGTATATACGTATGTGGGGGTATGTATGTTCCCCTTCCCTTCTCCATTTCTTGAAATGTATTTGTTGGAGAAACTAGGTTATTTGTCATATAGAATTTCTTTATCTTGGACTATTCCTAGGTTTTGTTTCCATGGCATAATTTATGTTTTGTGTGTGTGTGTGGTACTGAGGTTTGAACTCAGGGCCTACACCTTGAGCCACTCCACCAGCCCTTTTTTGTGATGGGTTTTTTTCGAGATAGGGTCTCGCAATATTATTTTCAGGGTCTCACAAACTATTTGCCCAGGTTGGCTTCAAACCACGATCCTCCTGATCGCTGCCTCCTGAGTAGCTAGGATTACAGGCATGAGCCACCACCACCTGGCCTATGGCATATGTTCTTTCATCTCCATTATTTCCTATGAACTGATAAAATGAGAGGCTTAGTCAAATTTAGCCTCAGATATTTTGTTTTGTTTATTTGTTTATTTGTGGTGCTGGGTATTGAACCCAAGACCAACGTGCACATGCTAGGCAAGCTCTCTAGCACTGAGCTACATCCCCAGCTCCAGCCTTGGATCTTTTGATAAGCACTACTTTATGGGTGATTATAGACTTCCATCAGGAGACATACAGTGTCTGCTTGTCTTTCTTTTTTCATGTCAACAGCCATTGATGGTCACACATTGTCTAAATCCATTATTTTATTAGTTTTTGTTATACAAAAAAACTAATAAAACTTTGTACAGTTTCAGTGAAACCTATAGTTCTGAAATGCTGAGCTGTGCTCTTTCTGTAGAATCAGAGAGACTAACCTTAAATTTTCAGCAGGAAGAATTTAGGTTAAATTTTAGGAAAAACTTATGACTCTAAAGATTTGAAAACAAAGATTTCTCAAAGGAGGTTTGTAGAAATGGATTATATAAGTTTGGTGGTCTTAGGGCTAGATTTTACCCCTCATGATCCACTAAAATGTCAATGAATTTATAAAAGTGGTTAATATACAAGGAGCACATTTACATGCCTCTCAGTGACCCTGTGTGGTAGGCACAGGTACATTTATTGTACAGGTGAAATAAGCATGGTTAGGTGGTGAAGGCATTCCACTAAGGTCATGG